CAGTGTGCTGTATGCATCCCAGGAAGTTAAGATTGTTTCCGAATGCGATCAGGTCTGCTAGGGTAACAATAATATACATTATAAAGCTCACAGAGCTTGCTGCTGAGCGGGAATTTGTGCTATTCAAATGCTATTTATCATTTTGTACTCAGCCGGCTTCCCGTCTCTTGTCCAGTTTTGTACATTATCTTTCCCATCATCTTTCCCTCGGCGTTTTAGTCGTTCTCTGCCTACTCTTTCCTGCCTTACGTCTTTCCAGCACTGTTATCGTTAGAGCTCTTAGTAATATTATGTGTTTCATCGATGCTTGATAACAACCTTTGAAAATTCTAATGAACAAAGAAATGACAGAATATACTACGTGAGAGACGTCTGGCTCCTTTAAAGGAAGTTTTAATAAGAATTTTATTATATTTATAGCACAAATAGGTCATATAAGTACCGAAGTTTAGAGGAGTTACTAGAGAGTAAAAAATACAAAAGGAAGGAATGAGATCCGGGCGATGAATATTTGATAGGAAGGAAGGAAGGAACAAACAGCATCTGAGCACCCGCCAACCACCCACGGACAGAAACAAAGTTGGAAAAAGCCAAAGATATACCAATAGTAGAAACAAAAGTAGTCTTTCCAAATTTTCAAAGACATAAAAAGAAAAAAAAAGATCAGCAATGCATTACAAAATTTAAATATATCTTACTTACCTTAGAAAAAATAAGTAAAGCAAAGCAGAATGATTCAAATGACAAAAAGAGATTTGATAAGAATAATATTGTTAAAGGCAAATGCGCTATAATTTTTTTCTAAAGTTGCAATCAAAAATCAAAATTACAGTAATATTGAAGATCTGCAAACGAAAGAGAGAGTTGAATGTACGAAGATATCAGACGGGGGATCTCGTGGTCTAGAGGTTAAGGTGTTCGACTCTCATTCAAAGGTCCCGAGTTCGACTCTGGGTAGCGACGAACACATTTTCTTCTCTAAAATTGTCTCCTTTCTCCCCCTTTCCTGCCCTCTAGCAATATTCTATCGTCTGCTTTCATCTCCTTCATCTGCCCCACCCCCTCACCTCCTTTGCCCTCTCTGGGCTCCTGACTCTTTCTGCAGCCTTTTCACTGCTTTTTCTTGGCTCCTTTTTACTACTGTCTTTCAACACATCCCTGATCTTTAAATAGGAAAGATTTACACCTAGCCTTCTCGGACAAGGACGAAAAATATCGGAGGCCCCGTGTGCAAGTTGCACACGTTTAACATCCCCTGGTGGTCCAAAATCGATAAGAGTAGACTTCGGCTGCCACCCGGGCAAAATTTAAAAATGTCTACTAACTGAAAGTGTTAGGTGTGTCCCGCGTGCTCTTATGACCTTATGTAGTTGCGAGCGCCGTAAAACACTTACCAAAAAAAAAAAAAGAAAGAAATCAGACAGTTGAAGAATAGCCAACTGTTCATGTCGTTGAAGCAACAGAATCTACACACCGTGACACTATCCTGGTTGGATGGACAAGAAATCACTTAAGAAGACTCTTAACAAAGAAACTCAGCACTTATTGTTACAGAAATCTGACATTACCGAAACCACTGTATTGGTCAAACTTGAGTTCAGTTTGAGTAAATAGAAGCACATCGTCACGATAACGATCATTTGGTGCTGGAGAAAATAAGCAAGATAAACAGACTGAAACGAAACAGGGAAAGAAAAGATGTAGGTCTAACCTGTGTCACCCTCTAAACACCAACTATCAAACGTTAACGAAATGTGTAAATGTACAGTTCTGACAGGGCTCCCAGAGTAAAACACCCTATGTTGTAAACTACTGACTTAAGTGGCACTTTCTTGGGGGGGGGGGGGGGGTAGGGGTGGTTGGGGGGGTAGGGGTGGTAGGGTGGGGGGGGTGGATATGTGTACTAGAGAATTGATAAAGAGGTCCGAATATTAATACTACTCAGAACGTTCTGATTATCAGAGGTTTTAAAGCTGTTAAAGAGTTGCTTTTTTTCTGTTATTTCTATGTGTTCCTTCCTTTATTTCTTTTTAATAGAAGAAAAGGAAAAGCAAAACTGGGAGCTCCGTCTAAGCCAAGGTCAAAGGGGACTTGGAGAGATGTATATCACAGTTTTGCTTGTTCTATAGCGACATGAAAAACAAACTGGCCCAGAGGAGCCAATATAGTACCCAAATATTCTGGGATCTCGACAGAATGATTGACGGAAGGCAAGGGTTGAAGGTGAACACATAAGATGTTTCAGCTTGATCCAGATCCCGCCCATATGCTGAAGCTTAGACTTTTATTGAGAAAAACCATTTATTTATTGCACTGTATTAGTAATTCGGGGGTGGTTTATAAATCTATCTCGGTAACTATGGCCTTTTTAGATAAAGCCTTATAACAAGGAGGTATAACAGGACAAGGTATGTAAAATGTAACTTTAACTGTTTTGTTTAAGTCTACGGTTGCAATAGTAACGGCCGCCATATTGAAAATAAACAGCTTTCATAATATAAAAAGGATTTTTTAAAACCAATTTGGTACATTGATAGATATACTCAATACAAAATTGTGTACAGTTGGAATTTGGATATCCTGAATAGGTAAAAAGTTAGAGATGGATAACTGACCTATCCCTTCATGCCTCTGAGTTCGATTACATAATCATCCATGTAACTCACTTATAAATGCATAGATTTCATTTTCCACTTGTACAAAGTTAGGTTATAGTATTAATAACAATCCCTGAAATTGTGATTGGAATCAAAAACAAAATAAAAAAGTAAATAGAAAAAACATAAAAAATTGAAGTTTTGAGAAAAAACATTTAGTTACGTAACAGGAAGAAATGAAAGTTCTAGGACGGGAAATCTGAAAGATGATGATTGTAGCACAAAGAGTAAGCACTTTATAGATTTACAAGTGATTGGAGTGTTATAATACGCAAAAAGTCCAGGTACCATAAATTGACCGAAAATCGTTTATTTGAAACCAGCCCTCCCCCCCCCCCCCCTTACTTTGTTCACTCAAGGAGGATGGACATAGGACCAGTAATAGGCACGACATTGGGTCCGTAGGGGCTTAACTTGAGTGGGCACCCACATTGGCGCGATCTTTTACTCTCGCAAATGCCATACCATCTGCCAGAAGTTCAGGAATATAATTTCTTAATCTATGGTACTGGTTATATGTGATCATGAATAAATTTTATGGATATTCTTTAAAAGAAAGAAACACAATATATGTACACATTTTAGAGGAATGAAACAGTTCTTCTCTTTCCTGAAAGATTTTGCTTTCTGGACTTATTGCCGAAGTTAATGTCCCCGGATTCTCCGGCAGAAGGCTACCCTTTTTCTTTCGACTCTGAAGGAAAGGAGGAGGAGGAGGAGGAGGAGAAGCAGGAGGAGAAAGAAAAAGGAGACTGAAAATGAAACCACAACAAAACAACAATTTAGTGAACTCCCTGTGCCATGCCAATTTTCTTAGACAGTTTACCAGAAAGTCATTTAACGCAACAACTAGTGTGGCAAAAAACAACAGGGAATCGCCAAAGGAAAGGCTCTTTCTAGCACGGAGAAAGTAGTACTTATAGAAGCAAATCACATACAAGTCATAGAATCGGCGTCTGGAATGTGATGGTAAGGCCCTTCGCCGGCGCAGGCGGAAGACCCAGATTCAAATCCTAAATGGGAAGCATTTTTACTGAGTATCTCGGTTCTTCTCCTGGAGCGTAATATCCATCACAGCTTACGTCCGTTATGACAGGCAGGGCCGATGATCGCCTCCTAAATGATGGAAATTGTGTGGATGGCGGAATAGAATCCATCATCTATGAACATAATTTTACCACCCCCCTCCCCCACTAAAGGAAAACCCAAACAACCTAACCCACCCCCACCACCAACAACAACAGCCCAAGTGACAACTCCAAACGATTTTACTATTGTCGTTCTGTGACAAAATGGAGTTTTAACATGACGAGTTCGGGTACGAAAGACTGTTTAATCTGTGTGGAGATACTAAATTAGGCAAGATATGTAAAGATTGGTTAAGCAGACTAATTGAGCACTTCCTCCCAATTTTCTCTTTTGGGTGGAAAGGGGAGGGGGGGGGGGAGAAGGATGCTTAGACCCAGTGCAAACCAAAAGTAGGTTCCGCCACTTCGTGGGTGGATGACAAACTCTCTTGGACACCCTTACTGAGACACATTTCTGATATTTGGTTGTGTGTATCGTATCTTTGGTCACTGCTTTTCTTTCCAGATTTTTACAAACTTCCCAAGCGGCTGAAGGTGTTCATGTGATAAAAACACTACCCCCCCCCCCCCCCTTCCACAAACAAAGGGCTCTCGGGCCAAGAAGATAAGGTGTTCATCTCTCATTCAAAGGTTTCGGGTAGCTACAGAAACATTTTTTTCTCTAAAAATTGTCTCCTTTCACCCCCTTTCCTGCTCTCAAACAATGTTCTGTCGTCTGCTTTCGTCTAAACTTTCTGCCCCCCCCCCCCCAACCCCCTAACCTTCTTTGTTCCCTTCTCTGGGCCCCTGATTCATTCTGCAGCCTTTCTCCTGCTATTCCATGGTTCCTTCTTACTGCTGTCTTTTAGTCCCACCCCTGCTGATCTTCTGGTAGGAAAGATCTACACCAAGCCTTCTCGAAAAAGAGCGAAAAAATCTCTGAGACCCCTTGTGCAAGTTGCACACGTGAAAGAGCCCTTGGTGGTCTAAAACCGACAAGAGTAGGCTTCGGCCGCCACTCAGGCAAAATTCTAAATATCCTACCAACTGAGAATGTTAAATGAGTAACGCGCGCTCATATGACTATGCAGTTGCGAGCGCCATACTTACTACCAAAAAAGCAATTACAATAAAATACACTCACACAAACGAAAACAAACATTACAAAGAAAAAAATCCAAACAAGTAAGATAGCATACCTTTGCATTTCACTTTACATAAAAACACACAAACCAACACCACAGACGTTTCACAAAAAACAACAGTTTTCTGTGTATTCCTTTTTGTTATATGTTTGCTTTATTTGCATGCAACATGTTCCGAACACAAATATTTAAGAAAATAACATCTTTGGAATTAGCAGCTTGATGGGACGTTGAAGATGCTTGGATCTGGGATGCTCAGTGTGGGGTTAGCAAAGAGGGTCAGTCTCGTCCCATTAACTTTAGCTGGAAGAAAAAAAAATGACAAAGCAAAGCATTCTTAGTCTAAGTCAAAGAATTGTTGCAATCAAGGAAATATATTTTTGATCGCAACAAACATAGTAGTAGTAGTAGTAGTAGTAGTAGTAGTAGTAGTAGTAGTAGTAGTAGTAGAAATGGTAGTAGCGTTTTGCAACGTTAAAGATTTTGATACAACTTTTGAAAACAGTTCGGGAACATATTCTTCGGTTGAGTTTTTTAGATGGTTATAAGAGTTATAAATTATCCTGTTTGTTCTATAATGTAAACTTAAATTTCAGAATTGAGCACAATCAACTCACAAACGTCTCTTCTCAAATAGACTATGGTGCTGTTGGATTCTTTGCTGACCAGTACTTCTGTCGAGGAGTTGTCATCAATTGGGATCACGTAGACGTCGAGGGCTTTTGGAGTGGCGCCGAGACCAATATCTACCGTCGCTGCTTTGAAAGCGTTACCTGGTGACAAATGCAAGGTAAATTCCAACTGTCCAAATATTGCTGCCCCCCACCCCCACCCTTTCCGACATTTCATCTCTCCTTTCCTATCCCCTCTCTCTCTCTCTCTCTCTCTCTCTCTCTCTCTCTCTCTCTCTCTCTCTCTCTTTCTCTGTCAATCCTTCCCAGAAAGTGATACATTCTACATTGATTACTTTTAAAGACGATATAATGGTTTAATCAAGTAAAGAAAACTTATATTAGGGACCATGAAGTTTCCCATTAGGACAAATAAACTGCGACACAACACGAAACATAAATGTAAACTCACTAGGAAGACACTGGGAGAAGGTACCAAAGACATCCAGGGGAAGATTAGAGCAAGCACCCTGAGCATCTATGCGGTAACCTTTTGGCTGTAAAAACAAAGAAAAATACAGTGGAAACCTCATATAACAGGGATGGTGGGACCACAGAAAAAGTCATGTTATATCAGATCCCTGTTAAATCATAAATGTAAGGGAAGTGGGCATTTGTGGACTAATCCAGCTGTATTTATTCATGGGTAGTTTCCCTTGCCACAAGTAGAAAAAGTAGGCTTAGGTTTTGATGGAAGTCTGCAGCACACCGCAACGCTCTATCGCTTCGCCCGCAACTTGTGTTTGCAGTGGCGTGGCTGCGTGGGCTTGCTCCGTCACTGCGTTACTCTCTCTCTCTCTCTCTCTCTCTCTCTC